GAGGGCGGGGGCCAGAGCAGGGCCCCTGCAGCGCGCGCCCCCCCCCCAAGGGCCCTGACCCCAGCTGGCTCCCACACCCGCAGACCCAAGCGTCCTGGCATGCAACGAGCTGCGGCGGCCTCAGCTCCCGGCGCGGCATAAAGAAGGACGAGTCCTGGCTTAAGAGACACCAAGGGGATTCCTGGACGAAGAGGCGTTAAAGCAGCAGGAGGGATGAGCCAAGAGGCGCGTTTTTATCTTTTATTGCAAAAGCACTCTGCGGCCTTGTGCCATGAGAACAGTACGCAAACCTCTGCCACCTCCCCGCCGCCAGCTACAAAATTCAGCTTGTGTGCAAATTTCATTCTCTCTCTCAAAGAAAAAAAATTCTTCAGTGTAGCAATCTCAAGAACTAAAGAACACTCACCCCCCCTTCCCTCCAGAAACAAAGAAAACCTTCAAAAATATATCACACCAAGCTTCCTACTTTGTCATTTGAGGGAAGGTCATCCTTTCACAGGATCCCTTTCCCATCATCCCACCCACTGAGGAACAGCCAATGAAAAGCTAGACAAAATCATTTTTCTTAGGTTTTTCTTCCTCTAACCAACACACATTCAAGCACTTGTGAATTAACAAATATTAAAACCTAGGAACCGTGTTAAGTACCTTTAACAATGATGTTTTACAAAGGAGGTTGACACACTTCAAACAAAAATGTCCCAACAGGCAGTCATATGAAGCTGGGTTATAAAAATCAAAAAGCTAAAGGTGATGCAATAAACCCACAGCAAACAAAAACAAACAAGAACTAGCAACCTACTTAAGAGGCTTACACCCAAAGACGTTAAACCTCATTTTTTGTCTTAATAAATACATTGATAAAATAAGAAAGCCGGGAACATAACCAGTGTTTTGTTTTTTTTTTCTACAGTAAAAAGTGAGACCTTAAACCGCACAGTTACAGCCCGGACTCAAACAGCCTTGGCAGAGCCAACTGCCCCCAGGATCTGCCCACAACGCAGCCACCCTCATCTTTATGACCGAGAAGCCCGGCAAAGGTGACTGAGAACTGCTCGTGCTGGGCCCCCTTCTGCAGAAAGGCTTTTTTACCTGAGCATCTCAAAGAGAGATCGAAAAAGGAGGAAAAAAAAAGGCATATCCCGAGCCCATAGGCTGCAGGAGGCCAGTTTTCAAGCCTGGTGCTTAACAGCACTTAAAAGTCACAGAACAGGAGTGCGCTGAAGACGCAGACCTTAGCTGAGACCTCCACGCCGTGCGATCATCAGCTCAGTGGTCCTTTAGTTCTTGTTTTTATTTTCCCTGTGTCGGCGGAGGAAAGTCCCTTTAGCAAAGAGGACACCAACAGCCGAGCGCACCGACTCTGCGGCTCTCGAGGGCACCCTCCGTGCACAGCACTCCCCGTGCTGCCCGTCCCGTCCCCCTTGCGCGATGACACTCACAGACTAGGGAAAACAAGCCTTCTGGAGAGGGGGGGAAAAGAAGGAGCATTCAGAACAGGAGCAGAAGAAGATCTGGCTAAATGCAAAAAAGTCAACGCCAGCACAGCCGGACCCGCGCGGCCCCCTCGGAGCCCGTGGCCGGTGCTCTGCCTGGAGGCTGGCCCTGCGGAGGTCGAGCAGGCGTGCACAGCACACATGATGTGCGTGCGTATCATTACGCCACAGAGGACCTCAACCTATTCTCTTAGTGATGGTTTGCAGTGCAAGCAGAGAGGTTTACAGCCCAAACACGACAGCTCTGAGGCTTTCCTTAATGTCACAGACACGTTGTTAGGGACCTGGTGAGCGCTCCTGCCATGTCCCTGCCAGCACACTCACTTCTTTGCACACCCCTCAAGCAACAGCAACAGCTGATTTTGAGATACAGAAGCCCATCCTTCACTCATTTTATATTCACACCGCAGTGTGAATATACCACTGGCACGGTACCCCAGTTTAGTACTTCTAGATTCACCGCTGCTCAATTCCCTTCTCAAGAGGGAAATTATGCCTTTTGCTGTAAGAAACTCCACTTTTCTCAGACCTGGCCCCTGCAGGACACAATAGATCCCGCTGCTCTCAGTAGAAAGCTAATGTTGGACAGCATTGCGTTATTTTAAACAGTTAGAGAAAAGGTTCACGGAAGACCACACAAAATGCTCCTTTCCTCTTCCATCCACCAAACAGTATTTCTGGAATTGACCATAAACCCAGGCAGCCAGGATATGCAGTTTTTCGTACATGTCTGGTAGACCTGGGAACTGCCCAGACAAAGGCGAGGATCAGTGTCGCTGCAGCTGTGTTTCCATACAACAAGCTTGGGGGAAACAATTTTGGTAACAGTTGTAAATCCAAGGATGGTGATTTTAGGTTTCCAAGTGGGAAGAGGCAGGTGACATCAAGCCAGTGCACGTGCTAGAAACGTGAGCACCGAAGTATGGGTAGCAGCAGTGAAGAAACCTAACGTGTCTCTTAGATTAAGACAGCTCTTGAATTTTGAACAAACAAGTGCCTGAGCAGTTTTCTGAAGCCTTTCAGTTTTGGTTTTAGAGGCTGCTCTGAAACCCTCAAAATCAAGAGTCCCAGCATCAGGCCCCAACTCCGTAATATCTCTTTACGGAGTCCTCCAGGTCCTACTTCCTAGATACAGGAAAGAACCTGCAGAGGAAAAAAACAAAAAACAGAAAGATAGAAAAAAAAACGCTTTCAGTGAACCGGTGAGGGTATGAGACCAACAGCCCTGGAGTTCGCAACCGTCTGCTTATCCAAGAGCCCAAGCTGCCATGCTGAGCCCTGACTTGGCCTCGCACCCACTGCTGGCACAGAGGATCAAAGAGAACCGTTAGCCTGATGGGGAGGGGTTGGTTCTGGCAGAGAACATCTGGCAGACACGAGAACCCCAGCTCATTGCACAGCCAAATTCGCAGGAAGGGTCTTTTCTTCCTTTGCATTTAATGGTAAGGGATTAGCCAGGATCAGAACAAAACTGGGACAAGAAGCCCTGACCTCTGCTACAAAGGAGAACAACGGGGTAACAGTGGACATCCATCAGGAGGGCACGGGATGTGCGTAGAGTGGTAACAACATGTGAAAAAACACAGAGTGGTTGAAGCACTAGCCACTGGAGAGAGGAGCCTGCAATACCCTGTCCACGTGTCAGTCTGCCTTCTTTCCCAGTCTTTTAAAGACGCTAACAGTCCCTGTATTGTCCATCTGAGCGCTAGGGGTTTCGCTGGTGCTGCTTACCTTCGCGCTCCCCCAAGTCCTCTTTATAGTGACCCTGAACTCAGGCTCCGTTTTACTCTTCGTGCTGGTGATGCTGCTGTCCTGGGCCTCAGCTGGCAAAGAGGCCTTGCCCAGTCTCTGGATGACACTGACTTTGGATGCTGCCGGCTCCAGCTTGCGTTCTTTTGCTGCTAGGCGGATACTGGTGGCACTCCTGTTGCCAAGCCGCCGGATGGCAGTGGCAGCTGGTTTGGCCTCTGAGCTGGTGGCTTTTGCTTTGATGGTCACTCCTGGCTTGGCACTTTCCTTGTGCGTGGGCTTGGAGAGTTTCTTCAGGACACCAGCATACTGCAGGACAGAGCAGTCATCGTCACTCTCCGCTGCTTTGTCCCCATCCACCTCCAGTGTGTCACCCAGTCGGCTGAACACCCCTGTGGGCTGGGAAGCAACAAAGGGATAGTCAGTGTCGCAGGGGAACAGAGCAAATAGAAGGGTGGGAGCAGAGGACTGGGGTTTGCCAAGGGAGTGGACAGACATGAGAGCAGGACACAAACACCCTAGGTCCTTCTCCCAGCTTTGTCATTTTTGGGATGTTTGAATTATCTTCCACTTCCCTTTGCTCCCCACTTCCCCTGCTGTAAAAAGGGAATAAGGAACCTAACCTCACCTGCAAAGTGCTTTGAGATCTACTGAGGAAAACTGCTGGCTGAGCAACAGGGATTACTCCTGTATCACAAACATCTGTGGCCTTTAAAATAACATTTCCTCACACTTTTGTTTAGGGGCTGACTCTGCAAGCTGTATCAAAGCACACCCCAAAACTTCCTCGCTGAGCTTTTTGCCTCCAGAAAAGGGAACAAAAGATCATATCCCATATTAAAGGGATCAGAACAGAAACACAGACAGGGAAATGATTTGCTGAAGTTGCTCAGAGGTCAGGAGCCACCAATGGAACTCAAGCTTCCTCCATCCCAGACCAGTGCTTTCCCATACCACCTCCCCATCATTTTCAGTTTTCTCTAGCTTTGAGATGAATTTCCTGCCTGTGAAAAGTACTAGATTCTCCGTCCCCAAGACTCCATTCCTCTTCCTTCCAACAGGCAGAACAAAGGCAACCCCAGGGCGATCTTCCTGAACACCTATACCTAGCACCACTCTCTGCCCCACCAGACCAGCCCTTTTAATTCAACAGTCAGTTCAATGCCCTCTGGTCCAATCAGTGAACAAACGACAATAATTATATCCATCAATTCAGCAATTTGAACATCGGCAACTACAACTCAGGTCCAGTCTATTTAGCGAGGACACTATACTGGCAGTCTGATTTTCTGCATGCGAGCCTGAGGCACGGAGGTTTTTTGCTGGGCTCACAAGGCCACTGAGTCTGGCTGACAAGGACAGAGATGTCCTCCAGCCTTTCAGCAGCGAGTATGAGACTGCACACCCTGAACAAGTCTAAGGAAGGGGGACCCTCATGTTGGGAACTCACAACAGTGGGATGAGGAGCTCGGCAAAGATAGCGCAGCCATGGAGAATGACAGCGCAGCCCTTATCCAGCACTCAGGACCCCAAACGTGGCACAAAGACAGCTGTGACATGAAGCTTCGTGCTGTGTCGTGAGGCTGAGTGATGTCTCCCTTCGACCCTAGCGAGGTTAGCAGCACAACAGCACGTGTTCCATCCAAACCATTGGCACCAGCCGAGTCACAGCTGAAGGGAGAAAGGGCACTTCGCTCACCTTGCCTCCCGTAGTCGTGTCGGCTCTTGTCTCCGCTCCCAGACGATCAAACACAGATGTCCTCTGGACACCTATCGTTTTCAAGAAAGCAAGCATGTCTTTGAGACTTCCCTAGAAAAGGAGGCTAGAGAAAGTTGTACAAAAGGTATGCAGGGCAACATGGCCAATGCCAGGGACTTGCAGGACCAGACTGAAAAGGCATAATCAGGGCACCCAGCAAAACTGAATAACGGCCACTGTAACGTTGAATAAAAGCCTCCAAAGAAGGGCAAATGCTGTTCCTCCCACCCACACCTCGAGACACCCCTGGCTATCTGTCCTTGCCTCCTCTTCTTAGACAAGTCTTAAATAGAGATGACTGCAACTTTTATTGGTCATAGTGACTTAATATATGTTCAAAATAATATCACTTCTACTCAACAACTATCTGGGTTCAAAAATCCCAATGCAATTGAGCTTCAGCACCTAGTTTGTAACGCGAGGCTAGGTCACGGAGTTAGAGAGCAGGTGAGACGAGGGAAGTATGGCTCATCCTTTCTTTACTAGTGACATTCAGAACTGTGAGTTTCTGGAATTGCCTTCCAAGAGAGACAAGAAGATAAGAAACATCCACTGGGCAAGTGGTTTTGGAAGAGCTCAGTGCACTACAAACACGTTGCTGGTACCTTTGGCTGCTTGCTGCTCCAGGATTTTCTTAGTCCTAGGAGTGGTGCCCTTTGGCATGTTGATGATGTACTTCCCCTCCATTTCTGCTGTGACTCGGCGACGCTTCACTGGGACCGTTGGACTCTCATCCGCTGTGTCACACAAACCTCAAAAGCCAAAGACAGAGAGAGCTGACAACAACTACTATAAGCTTCGAGGTGGCAATTCTCTTCACTCCAAGAATTACACGCGAGAAGAGCTTTACACTGCCGAGGGGGCAGCACTAGGGTGCTACCTTGGGCTTGAGAAAACTGTGCTACTGACTGTTCTGATGCCAACAGATACCCTGCAGCACTGGGGCTCTTCAGACTCCCCCCCTCACCTCAAACTACTTATGAGCGCAAATGAGACAACAGGAATCAGATCACCAAAACGCAGCTAGATCTGAGGTGAAAGGCAGCAGCTCTTAAATGCTTATGGCAGAATTTCAATTCAGAATAAAAAGGAAAAAGCAAGAGCTGCCCCATGCAGCACAGCAAATGTTTCCCATCATTTCTGCTGGGAAACATTCCCATCCATACCTGCTTTTGTATTTTTTGCAGCAAGTTTGTTGGATACAGTGACAGAGATTTTGGATGTGCTGGTATCAGGCCTTCGGACAGGGGTAGCAGGTGGTGACTCTCTGCTCAAGCTGTTAGCAATCATACGGGTAGCAGCTGAAGGGCAAGGACAGTGAGTTGAGGAAGATCAGAACGTACTGCGTACCAAGCCCATAGATATATTAACAGCAGGGCTCTTGTTCTTCCTACCAGCATCTTTAACCTACAGTGGCTATGGTCAGTGTAACAAGGAGAGAGCCTCCATCTGTCAGGTAAATAAAGGAAGCAGCTCTTCCCTGAGCAATGCTCTGATCCCATGGAAGGCAGCCATCAATTATACTGAGCCACGTGTAAAAGAATTCATCAGGCAACGGAGTTCACTCCCCAAAAATCCTCCGCGACCTCTGGCCATCCCGCACTCACCGCTGCTGGCGTTCCGGCGCAGTTCAGCCTGCATGTTCGGCGGGCTGGGGCATATCGATTCAGTAGCTGCCTTGCACATCTCCTACAGAAAACAACAGATTTCTTCTTACGTAGGAGAAAGCAAGGATTCTCGCTGCTGCAGGCAGCGTGCAGGCAAAACTCTAAGGGAAGGTGAGTTGGGCAGGCTCAGTTAAGAGCCTCTACCAATGTCCATGCTTTACTGTGTCTGCTGATGAGGATGGTTCTCCACTGCAGTGCACCACAAGACTATGATGCCATCTCCACACTTAAAGTAAGCATCCTGCCATCAGTCTGCCCACCAAAAAGGACATTTTTCGCTTATTTTTTGGCCCAAAAGCAATCTGTTCTCTCTAGCGCACTCCAGAGCTACATTCCCTTCTCCTCCCAGGAAGGGAGTGGCATTACCCAAACAAATACAACTGATTCACTGGCCAGTGCTGCCTGAAAGAGCACCGTACCTGTCTGTAAACTACTTTGGCGTGTTTGAGGATAGCAATGATGTCCCCCACTATCGTGATGCCCAGCTCGTTCATGATCTCCTTATTCAGGTCCATCAGCATGTTCTTCTGGATTCTGCAGAGAAGAAATAACGTAGCAAGTGGCTCAGCAACAGGGCACAATTCCCTGCACATACTCTAATTCTCTACATTATAGCAGCTCAAACTAATTAAGCCTCGAGCAAGCTGTAGGATAATATCCCCAGCCTGGGATAGAACGCAGTAGCTGTTACAGAAAGAAACAGTGCTGCTGACGAAAAAGAAACTTGGACCAGATTCATAATTAACCTAACTAATTAAGCAGACTGGAAAGAGGCCAGGATGCTTAGGTTAACTCTCTCCCTCCCCTCGTGATGGGATCCTCAATAGCCAAAACGCCCAGGAATTTGAGTGCTGGAACTCATGAGCTAGAAGTACTGCATGTCACCTTGCAGTCTGATCAGTGAATGCTGCCAAGGGACTGGCGAGGGCATCTGACAGCTTCTCTGTCACCAAAAAGAGGCTGTCACCTAAACGGGGCTGCAGGATCAGAACCTGGATCCCTACGGACCAATTTAAATTAGTGCAGCAACAGGCAGAGAGAGCCTCTGTGCTGGCAGGCTCGTCTCCCCCACCACAGAGGAACCTCCTGCTCCGCAGAGGGACATGCGGCGCCTCAGTTCACTCTGGTGAGAACATCCCGTTATTTGCTATTCCCGAAGCAATGAGAAAGGGTTGCCTGTTCACGATCTCACCTGTTATCTACAAACATAACAGCATAGTTGACCGCAGGCCCTGGAGGAATCCCAGCTTCCTTGAAAAACTGAATCCATTCTGATGTAGCTGAAAAATGCAACAGACAGAAAAAAAAAATCAGAGGATGTCAACAGCAGCCTGCCACAAAGGCCTCTAAACAGGCACAGGTTTGGCACGGGCTGGCAGCCCTGGACAGACCCTTCCTGCCCACAGGTACAGACAGGCAGGGCTTCATTCTCAGCCTCCTCAAACATAGGCAGGAGAAAAACCTAGGCCAGCGCAGCACTGGATTTCTAGCTGGTGAGGCCAGGCTGCAGCACTAGCAGCGTGTGAGAGCAGAAGGAAATTCAAAAGTCAAAGCACAAACTGTTTACGACCCAGCCGTTTTCAGGAGACCCACAGCAGAGCCTGAGCACGTGCAGGTCCTGGGATGCGGTCACAGCTTTATTTGTAGATTTCCCTGGCTTTGGGAGTTTCAGTTATGCTCTTCATATCTCTCTGGTATCCTTTTTTTGTGGTTTGGCACACACACTCCCAGAAGCTCATTCCAAACATTGGCAGCTGTTGTCACATATCTACAAGGCTGATTAACCTGATCACTCGGCCAGCAAAAGCAAAATCGCTGCTATGATCACGGGGGAAAAAAGATCATCTTACGGATAAAAATCTGCTCTTTGAGTGTCTTTACACCATAGTCACCATTTACTAGGACTTCCACTCACATGTAAAAGGGGTGGGACAGCACCACATTCACAGAGATTAAAACATCCCCCCTTCAGACTTACCCATAGTAACTGACACCATTATAGAAAATCCAGGAAGACCCACACAAGGGTCTAGGTTTCACTTCCGAAAAAAGCCTGCAATGAAGTAACACGTTATAAAGGCAACTGCACTTTAGGAGTGACGTCAGCGAAATGCCAGTCCTGGGCTTCATGCAACAAGAATAGCTCATCGGAAAGTCTCAGGACCTTGTGGCACAACCCCTCTGATGCGGCAACGGACAGCTGTTGGTCACCACTCTCCTACACCCCTCCGCATTCGATCACTGCATTCACGGAGGGCTACGGCTCCTCCAAAGAGAAACAACAGCAGCCTCATGGAGACCCCGATTCGTGACAGCCCGCTGCAGCTCCTGTCTCACAGCATAGTCCTCATTGCTGACTCGCCCAGATTTCAGCCCTGTCCTCACGCTCTCCCCAGAATCACAGTCCAGTGCAAGCATCTCCCCGGCTGCGTGTGCCTGTGCACCCGTGGGACGGACCGGAGGGGATGAGGTGCCTGCAGCAGGCAGCCGGGCCGTGGTAAGGCCAGGCAGTGCCGGGACGTTTATCCGGCGGACCAGAGGGTGCCTGCTGGGAGGAAAGGGACGAGCAGCAGCTCTGGGAGCCCTCCCTCATCTGGAGGCCACAGGACTAAGAGCTGGGAATGACGCGCAGCAGCTCGGCTCCGCTCACAGCTCCTTGGACCCCATGGGCTCCCTCGGAGGCCCCAGCGCTCCACGCTGCCCCAGAGAGCTGCTCTCACCCCCAGCCCCTTCCCTGCCCCATCTCCACGCTGGCCCTGAACCCGCCAGCACAGTGCAGCCCAGCCCAGCCGCCCCTTCCCTGCCCCAC